CTCTCTCTCTCTCTCTCTCTCTCTCTCTCTCTCTCTCTCTCTCTCTCTCTCTCTCTCTCTCTCTCTCTCTCTCTCTCTTTCTTGTAAAATGCGACGTTATTGAAACTTTCAAGTTGGTCAGCAATTACAGATTTAAGACCGGAAGCATACCGAAAATGGAAGCTACACGCGCATCACGTATCGGGCGTAAAGATTGCCGCGAATGGAAAATCACCGAATAGCTAGCTCTCCTTAACTGTCAAAGGATCTGTATTTACAGTATATAGTACAAATACACACATAAAAGAAAAACCTCAATTCTTATGTAACTAAATGGTGCCAGACGAAAATTTAACGTGATAAGATCTATCTCCGTTATCACGAACGGAAGCGTTCTTCTGTACATTCAGCTATTAAAACTCGGATAACTGAGATAACTAAGAGCAATTGGCTGAGTAGAAACCTCCCACAGGAATATTTCTGTTCCTATAACTGTGTTTACGTCTAATCCCCAGGCGGCAGAAAACTCGGTCGCACTAACAGAGTTGTTCTTCCGTGTGCACGGAAAGAATGATTGAAATGAAAAACTCGATTGTAGGAACAGAAAAAGATTCTTGCAGGAGAGAAATTCACTCAGTCAATTGTTTTCCGTTATTGCAATCAAGTTTTAATACAGTTGAACGTTCAAACAAACGTCTTTGATTGCGATGACAGAGATATGATTTCCCGACGGCAAATTTTCAGCTGTCTTCTGTTCAATTGCACACGAACTGAAATTTTATTTTCCGCGAACAAACTAAGAGCTTCTTTTATTACGCGTACATGTGTGATTCCTGAGGATATTAATATTCGTTAATTTTAAGGTATCAGTACGAGTTCTTCGGCAATTTCAAAACGCCGACCTTAAAACTGCTACGTTACGAGATATACGCCGAATTACGTGTCAACGATATCGCGCTGAGTTAGTTCGGGATTAATTCGGGTCACCGGTGTGACATATTGCCCGTGCTGGAATTTGTGCAGTGGGATTTCACGAAACCCAAAACGCAGTCATTGTTATCGCGTGTGTCGCGCGATGTAGCCGCGTTATCTGTTACATTACTTCATCAAAGCGCATTATATCCGACCGCTCGGCGCACATTGCGTGTTTCGCGATACGCGTCGCGCGAAATTAAATGTATTCCCGGTGCGTCGCGATGAGACTTAATCAAGGTTGCCAGCGACACATGCACACTGGCCGCTCCCTAAAAAAGAGCAAAGGGCAAAGGGCGGGCTTTGAAAAACGTACATAATACGTGGATTATCCACACTATCTAACTATCCACACGATCCACTTATCACTAACCCAAAAAGTAGAAAAATATTTTCGTCAACCGTATCTTTCCATATCAAACACAAAGTCCCGCTTGTACGTCTCATGGATTTACGAACGAATTAATTAATTGATTAACTTCCAGAAATTAGGATTGTCGATTAAGGTCTTAATTCCTCTCATTTTTTTCCAGGATTGCATTCAGCGATAACTTCGTCGAGGGACGGACACTCGGAGGACGACGTCCTCTTCGTCTCTAGCAAAGGTAGCGAGGCGTCGAAGTTATGGATCAACTATCTGTCGGCGTGTTTCGAGCAAATCAGTCGACAGCAAGGGCGACCACCGTACAAGTGAGTTTCTTTTTAAATTTGTCACTCGACCAATGCGAAGGTAGATGCCTGATCGACGTCGTCGATTTCCGCCTTCAGAGTGCGTCACGTGGCGATCGAGGAGCCGATAGCCCCGAGAACGGAAGAGAGGATCCGTTGCTCTCGTCTCCAGATCGTCGTCGTCTGTCCAGTTCTGTTAGAACAAGCCCGTGCTAATCCGGAGCATGCTATTCAGCTGACCAGACACCTGCTTACTGAGAAGGTGTTGGCGATGATGTTGGGTGTTCAAGACGGCCACATCAACGACAGCCACAAGTCCAGCTTGATCTGCTACGATCAGTGGAGGAAGTTCTTCGTGAAGGACCAGGACGAGACGTTCGTGGGCGAATTATTGGGCGCGGCGGTCGGCATCCTAGGAACCGCGCCACCGCCGGCACTTAGGGCCGACAAGACTGCATTCTCCGTGCATCCGAAGAAAGTCAAGCTGGTAAGTACATAATGGTGGTCTCCAGCAGAAGCAGAAGATCTCTCTTGTCACCTGTCCCCTGTCGTTGCTCTCTTCTCTCATCTCTTCATCTCTAGGTTCATTTCTCTTTGTGCTCTTGTCAAAAATTTTGCTCGACCCGATCGTCTAACGAAAAGGCATATTCTATTTCTGGCAGGTCTATTCCTGTGACGTCACTCGTGATCTTTTGAAAAGTGCGACGAAGGCACGAATTAAAAGTGATTCTTTAAAATGTCATAGAAACTCGATACAAAAAGTTTGTTTGTTTGCAGGGGCAGAACAGGATAATCGTTCTGCTAAACGACCCCCTGACTCCCGAAGATCACATCTCGGTGATCGTCGACCGTTGTGGCGATGCGATCGAGATAAGCAACGTGAAGAGGAGGAATCCTTACGCGCTGCAGTTCTCGATACCAGAGAGGTGTCTCGAAGTTTCCATGCTGGTCGGAGTGAGAATATCCAAGAACGGCTGTTCACTTGGCGTTAGGCAAGTCAAGTGCGAGAGCAGACTCCGAGAACTCGATCAGATCCTCAGGGCTCACGACAATCCTCTCGACTTCATGTGCCAGGTAATTGAATTCGCGAGTTACCACGCGAATGAATTCGCTTCGCCCCGAGCTACTACTAAAACAGAGTCAAATCTGCAATTTCTTTCTTTCTCTGCTTCGACATAGATATTTTATAAGAAAATTCCAACCCAACCACATTGTTTAATCTAAAGATTGGAAGGCAACGAATAACTTATTTCGGGCCGTTTTATGTTTTGCAGACTTTCGGCTTTAGTTCTACTGACCGGGACCAGTTGGACAATTGGATGGTTCACGCGTTTCAGAAGAACATCCCACCCCACTTCAATCTTCTATCAACGCCAAGTGGTTTAGTAAACACCCATAAACATCACATAAGTAAGTAACCCCCTAACTTAACGATTCGATGAAAATTACACATTTGATCATCATTAACAATGTACGAATTTAATCGGAGAAGACGCGCTCTCTGAAGTACAATCAATGTATTCTTTACTAAAATGCTATACTATGTATGTATAACTGGTAAATTTCGCAAAATGTTGGGATTGGTTAAACTTATAGCGAATTTGTGCATTACAAATTTTACAATGAAATCTTATTTCCACTGATCAAAATCCGCGAAATACTAAAGAGCACGACGAAACACTAAAGAGCAAGTATATTCACTGAAAATCAGTGAATACTCACTGCTCATCGGTGAAGTAGTCTTTTTGCTGATTTAATCAGAAACATTTGTACTTATCCACTTTAACAGAGCACGCAGAGAGTAGTAGAGAGCAAAACAAGCAATAGAAAAATGCTGTTCTTCGAGGCACCTTTGACTTTATAACTTTTTATTTCAGGTCCCGAAGAAAACCCGACATTGCTACACTTTGCCGCGCGATTCGGCCTGGAGAAATTGGCATGGCAATTGCTGGAATGTCCAGGCGGCGACCTGGCGTGCGATCTGCGAAACGTCTCCGAAATGACACCCGCCGATCTCGCGGAACAAGGCGGGCACACGAAATTGGCGCAACAACTGCGAGGCTACATGGTACAAATACCTCGCCTTTAGACCGACGTCGCAAATAATCGAACAAACAATCGGTATATCCGCGATCCACTTTATTCTTCGCTTTTCTCAAGACCCGGCGTACGCCACGCGCGTACACGCTCTCGCTCTAGCTTAGAATAGATAGATGGAAATATCTCGGAGATAAAAATGCCTGCCTACAGCGACGCTGCACCGTCTGGTACCGGTGTGACGTCGCGTTCGTCGACCCGTGAATTTTGCGCCGAATTCGCTGAGCATGAATTTCCGAGGCCTGAATTTCGCGCTCTTCGAATCGCGCGGTTCCGCGCGACCGATGAATTAACCGACGTATCTACTCTGTATTGCATATTTCGGGCGTGACTTTGGATCCCGGCGGATGGAACTCCAGCAAATAAACGAGTTCACCAACATGTACAGCTACCTCAAAGTTATAAGCGAGACGACTAATCGACCGACAGGTACGACATCGCAATATCATGAAATAACGCTCTCAAATTAATGTTTTCAATAAGAAAGAAAAAGCTCTTGAATTCATTCTTAACTGATTCGAATTTTTTACTGAAATTGAGAGTTCAAAATACTTGAAGTTTTATTCACAGAAGTAAACTTGATATCCAACAAAAATAAATTTTCAAATATTTCTCTTTCTCAATACATATTCTATAACGTTCAAAATTTCATAAAACGCATCTAAACATTAAGGTGAAGATTATTCAAGTAATTCACAATAGGTCTGTTCTTTTTAGCTGAACTAATGCAATAAGTTAGAGTGAGACAAATATATTTTGTTTCACTCTAACTTATTGCACCTAAATGAATAATCTTCATCTTAATGTTTAGACGCGATATGTAAAATTTTGAACGTTATAGAATATGTATTGAGAAAAAGAAATATTAGTTTAAGTATAATACGAGATTATTTGAAAACAGATCACGACTCAGCAACAGACGTTCCGTCGCCGAACGCGAACGAAACCAGCAACGAAAACGAGGATTATTGTCAACCGAGACCTCTCAGCGAGGCTTACTTGGTGCCGCCGATTGCGAGACCAGTAACGACTCTGATTCCAACTCTGCAAACGACTACCGCCAGTATGGCCATGAGCAATCCCTTAACCGCTAATTACTCAGTCGTGCCAACGCCTACACCAGTGATATTACCGTCCACACCGTCCGCGAGCTCTAACTCTTCGAATGGACCGGACCTATCTTTTCAGGGCTATATGAAAATGTACCCTGTCGGTGAGTTTAAAAGAATAACTGTCGAATGTATGAATAGTCATTGAAATATGAGTGATTGTTAATCATTGCTACGTGCAGTGGCAATTATATTAATTTCCATTTTCCCGTATTAATTCGTATATCAATTTGCTCGTTCGATTTTTAACCCGACTGAACGTTTCAAACGCGCGCGCCATTAGTCTCTAAATTTTGTCCGAGCAATTTTTCTCTGCGACCCTTCACCTCTTTCATCGGCTATCAATGCGATTTACGTCTAAGCAGTTCATGCACTACTACTAAAGTGAGGCTTCGTGAGCGTTTAAGTTTTGCGCTCACCAATTCGCAATGATATCCAGCGACCTGTTCAGTCCTGTCCAGGTCCGGTCCACCGGTGAGACTCATCGCTGCACTTCGACGCGTCGCTTCACACCCGTCCAGTCTGCTCAACATCCAGCCGTCGTCCCACGTTCCTCATTTACTTCATTTCCTTTCTCTATAGGGCACTCGCGAGCACGATCATTTTGACGACGTTGCACGGAAAGTATTTCGAGCGTTTCAAGAATGTATCCGAGTCACAAATCACGTATATAAACTCTCAAATTAATTAAACAATTGCGAAAGAACGATCAAAGTCGCGTTTCTGACAAGTACGAGAGAAAGAGAGAAGAGAAATATATCGTTTCACGGATAATTATATTTTGCCGAAAAACGTGGCTCCCGTTTCGCGAGAATCCTAATTTTTAAAGCAAACAAGCGTCATGTCGAGCTCGACAAATAATGTGAATGAACATGACATTATCTTTCCCATTACGTGAGAATAATTTAGGTAAACCGAAATAATAGAAAGCTCCTTGAATAGAGTTAACTAATAGTTAACTAATAATTTAGGTAATTAACAACCGCGATAGTTGCAAAATTTATAGACGCGAACGAAATCGCGTAATCGCGAGTAATCGCGAATTTCACGTAAGATGACGCATTTTGTACTACTCGAAACAATTAGAAGATCGCATTGAATGAACGACTTCGTCATATAATTCTATGCTTGAATTGAATGTAACAAGAACTAAAACGTTAATGTAAATGTATTTTTTTGCGACATTAAGAATTAATATAAAGAGAAGTATATGTTCAGAATACTCTTCAAGCATCTCTACTGTGCAACACAGGCATTTTAGAAAGAAATCCCCCGATTATTTCGGTCAGTATATCTCTCAGTGAACAAATATACAAAACATATATGCAAAAAATCTATAACTAACTAAATCGCATTGAGCCAATGAACTCCTACTACACGCAAAAAAAATTTCAGTTAGTGCAATCAAACAGAAACCAACTGAAAATTAGGTGATCAGAAGCGATATCTCTGTTATGAAAACTATATAATATTTCTGTTGTCACAACCGAAAATATTTGTCTGAACATTCAACGATATTAGAACTTACTTGAGGCAACTGAGAACAATTGACTATACAGAAGCCTTATAAAAGAATTTTTCTGTTCCTACAGCCGAGTTTTCGTCTGATCCTTGAGCAATCGAAAATCCGGTTGCACCAACAAAATTGTTTTTTCCGTGTACAATCCACCACCTTAAATATTGAAATCATTCTTTGTCTCTGACTCACGGTAAGCAGGACTTGTCATGTTCTGCTATTAATCTGGAACAAAAATGAAAGATTTCTTCGATCAGACATGAAAATTAATGTTTTAACAAGAAAGATACCGAGAAAGATACCTAAATATAAACTAATTAACTCTTTGTGATTGGAGCAAGTCAAGTTTCTCAGACAGCACAAATTACTAACAGATGTCTTAAAAATGTCTAAAAGAAATAGGATCACTTTAAAACATCTTTTAGTAAATCCTTCTGTCTGGATTGTTATTTTAAGACAATTGTTCTCAATTTTCATTCGCAAAAAGTCAAAAACAAGAATATGTGTAGTCTGTAAACCTACCTTCGAATCCGCTCTACTCGGCCCGAACCGGATCCTCCGGTTCAACATCCGCGTACACCGAATCTGCACTTCCCAAGAATCGCAGCTATCCGCAATCTCTAGTAGATCTAAAACAAAAAGTGAGCTTCCTGATTAGTGATATGAATAGCTGTCAACGTATCAGATATAAAGAAGCTCAAAATAGTGTATTTTTCTTTAAACTTACAAAAAAATAAAAAATAGTGCTTAATAAATTTCTGATAAAATCCATTATATGTAGTCACAGGTTCGAAATCGTCAACGATGAACTCGATGAAGTTACAATCATCTCGAACGGGCACGCCTACGCAGTACACTCGTTCGGAGTGTCATCAAGATTCTACGGCGGTACGAGAGGACAATTCCTGTCAGAAGGTTAATCAGCCTCCTCCCTATGGCAGAACGTCATCCAACAGCAGCACCAAGTCCAGAGAACCGTCAGGCCCTCAGGACGAGCTGCTGGAGATCATAAACGACTTCAAGAACAACGTCTTCACGATCTCCGAGGTGGAGAATCTTGTCGAGAATTGGCAGAAACGGAACGACGTCCAGCAAAGCTTCAAGGACAAGCAACGGCAGCTCACGGCGATGCGAGAGGAATACGAGAGGATACAGAAGAAGATGAAAGAAGAAATGAAGAGTGCGACGCCCTTCGACAAGATACGAAGGTTCTTCTCCAAAGGGAAGAAAGGCAAGTGCAATCTGAGACACTGTTGAAATTCCTTCGATTATTTTCAATTGACTGAACATCAAAGTGGGATAATAAATCAGGACCTCGATCAACTTTTGTTACAGACGCAAAAGAATCCACCAGAGTTGCTGCCAACTCGCCTTCGGGCAAACCCGAAAGCGTCAATGGTGGATTAGCCGATCGCCGGCCTGTTAGTAGCTTAAGTCTTCGTAGTGTCTCCAGTAAGTATAATTAAACACAGAATGTAAATGTCATAATTATATATTGAGAGAAAATGTATCTAAAAAATATTTATTTCAAATATTGATAGCATATTTACTCAAATCTTGATTCTTTTATTTAAATAGAATAAATAATTGGTCTCACGAAAAGGTAAAATTTCAAGAAAATGTATATTTTTAATTAAAAAACATTTCACATTAGTATAAATAAATATGTTATTAGTGCCCATCGCGAATAAATATTTGTTACTTCTTAGGTATTTTTTCTCTCAGTGTACGAATTGTCATTGAGAGTTTTCTTTTGAATATTTTTGAGAATGAAGAAAGTCATCCTTAAGAGACTCTGATTTGAAATATGTCAGATATTTTTAGATATTTCAGATTCTCATAATATGTAAATTCTACTCTTCAGGTTCGTCCTCATCCGGTAGAATGAGCACTGTCAGCGGGTGCAGCGGCACGAGCTTGGGCGACAGCGGAACACATTCCGACTCTGAAGAAAGAAAGGTACGTCTCACGTATCATGTAATTAGAGTGTTGAGTATTAACCAATTAAAATACTCTTTGACTAAAATAATCGACAAATCAATCACCACAAACTAATCGCATACAAAATCACAAACAATTTCATCCATTGACGAAATTATTAATCAAGCTTTAATAATATTGATTGTACACTGATTAATTATTATTTCAACAATCCATTGAATTATTCATGATTACATACATGAATATTAATTATAATTTTGATTATCAATTTGCCGATTATTTTAATGAGAGAAAATTTAATGCTCCACACTGATTAAAGATAAGTGATTTAACCAAACAAAAACTACTATCCAAAATCACTTTTTCGGGGTCTTTTTTTCGAAATCTTGCAAAGAAAGTGGTTGGATTTAATATCAAAACAATAGTTCATATTACATTCGTATTTATATACTAATTGCTTCCAGCTGCAAAATCTCAGGGACGAAAAGGCCGGCATGACATCCTACGAGATACCACCAGCGCCTAAACCGTACACAGGTAGGTATTCACCTGCGCCCGGGTATTCCCCGTCACCGAGTGCCTCCATCGTACGCGACCTCGATCTCCGGCCGTCGCGATCGCCGTCCCGGGCCAACGACAACGAGTACTACATCGCATTCCCACCGTCGGGATTACCCGTTCACGGTAATTTCAATAATTGTACAAACGCGAGGCTGAAAGATCCTTGAAGAGTTGAGACATTGCTTTGACATCCTTCAGGCCCATATTAATAATTATTGCTTGAAACTCGTCTCTAGTGATACACTTAGATTTGAATTCAGAATTAGATAGGAATTGTTCAGTTTGTGATTATAGATATAAATATGTAACAGTTTGCAGAAAGATTTCTACACATGCGTGATTAAGTTTTCCGCTGAATATGGCAAAACAAAGCAATACGTATGTACAAGAAATACAAAAAGGATAGTAGATTATGTTAACGACGTCATCTCTGCGTTATCGATATTTTTCGAGTGCATCATTGACTTCAGCATCACCTTAGGTCCGCATTTTTTACTTGGAGTTAGACGTGAGTCTTTCAGCTGAATCGCGATTGCAAATGTAATGTTACATATATTATGTAATTTAAATAAAAGACTCTCGTCTAACTCTAAATTTAGATCTGAATATCTCACGCAGGACAAGTTTCAAAAGAAACATCCATTAATACGGTTCTTAGACACTGCGGACGTTGAGAGTCCTCGAAAAAAAAAGGAAATGAATAATTCATGATTCGATTCTTGCAGCGTTCAAAGCGGACGGCTCTCCGCGGGAACCGGACACTCCGAGCTCTCCGTGCGAATACTCCAAGTGTCTCGACTTCGCCCGGAACGTCGTTGCCGCGCCGGACGAACGAGACGGGTTCGAGACGGCAACGAAACACAACAGCTACGCGAACATCGACCCATTAGCGCCGAGTTTATTCTCGGATTCGACTCGCGCCCTGGACGGCATAAGCGACGAGGCGACGTCGGTCAATTCAGCTCGCGCGAGTGAGGAAATTGCGAGAGAACGTCGCGCTGACGAGGTTGCCGAAGCGTGTCATCCCGACACCTCGAGGACGAAGCCGTCGGTGCTCGCGCAATCAGTCGCCGTCGACGAGGTCGATTCCGCGACGTTTGTCGCTCGAAACGACCAGGACACCGCGGTGAGGTACGAGCAGGCGCGCACACCGGACTTGACAAACGTGCCGAACCATATGAATATCGAGGCCAATGAGAGCGGCAGAATGCCGGAATACATGAACCTCACTATTAATATGGGTCACGACTCCGTCAAAATCCTTGGCGCCATACCAAAGAAACTGCCCGCGCCGCCTGTACCGCCGAGAGGTACGACTTCTCGTGTTGAATAATTTCACACAGAGCAGACACGAGGTGTCTACCGCACTACGTCGAATGACTGGATACGTTATTACTCAATCAGGCACAAATTACTGGAGGATGTCTTAAAAACTTCCAAGAGACGTCTAAAAGAAATAGGACGTCTGTTGGACGTATTTAAGACACCCTTTAGTAGATTGAGTGATGTCTGGATGTTAACTAACGTTGACTGCCGTTGATTATTGTAAGACTCTACTGAAGATTGAGTCACCAAACATACGGTAAATCAATGCAATTCGCGATTATCGACGGCCGTTGTTATTAATGAGTAGGGCTATTTTAAGTCTGCTTGTGTGTCACAAGCCGGATACGCAATCTACCTGATGAAGCTCATCTAGGTAGATTCGCGATCCTAGATAAGCGTTGGATATCACACATGGCCTCTCAAGCGAGATGAATCACTGCTCTATTGCGGTGGACTTTTATTCGATTCTCTGAAGTTATTTTCCGAAGAGAAAGATCAATTGCGAAAGGACTGCGGAAATTTTCTACGGAATCTCGATGAAAAAGGATTTCGATGACGCATGTGTGTTCTCGAAATCGCGAGTCCGTGAAGTGAAAGATCCTTGTTCGGCCGATCGTTACGCTAAACTATTTGGAAAACCAAATCGTGTTAAAATAAAAAAGTACCAATACCCAATCCTGAATATTGTTGTTTTGGTTTTTAAATGCGAATATTTAAATTTTTAACATAGAATATATATGTATTTTCTATATTTTTTTATTAAAAATTTAAATATTCGTATTTAAAGACTAAAACAATAAAAATGTCCACAATTAGTGTCCAGATATTGATAATTTTATCTTAATTGTTATATGTCGGCATATCGACTGATGAAATTCGAGTCGCGAAAGGGATAAAAATAAGTACTGCAACGTAATTTTCAACAATTTTCCCCGGCGCTGTAGTGCCTGATTTCATATTTTTTAAATATAATCTTGCACACACATACATATATACACAAATACATCACGATATCAAGTTAGGATTAGTTCGCAGTTTCACAATCCTAAACTACTTTAAGATTGATGTTTAACGAGTTCTCATTATATGTTGCAGTCACGACTAAGAAGTAGGAACCGGAAATCGACGCGATCGCAAGTGAAAGAGAATTTCTTTTGTACATTGCGTGGCGCGTTTCCCTTCTTTTTCGTGCATTAAGCCACGACTGAACTTTCGTGATGACTAAAACTCAGATCAGTTAATGTTTATCACTGAGATTTATCTGTGTATTTCATACTCGTTAATTATACGTTACATTAGTTTAGCTACGTCGAAGGAGATACTCTCGCGTGGCCACGATAATTAGGATATAATCACTATCGCTCTTATACCCAAAGATAAGAAGTCGCGATATTCAGCAACACACGAATCCACTCGCCTCATATTATTCGTACAAAAGCAGCAGCGTTGATCTAATTAGCTCGAATATGATAATTAATTAATAAAAAAATATATATATTATGGTATCACTATACGATAGCAAAGTTAGTCGGATTAAGCTCCGAGAAATGTATCGCGCTACTTTTGCACGCAGCGAGAACGACGTTTCAAGTACCAAGGACGCATTTATCTCTAATTATAAGGCCAACGCGTAAACCGCGAATGTTTTATACCATTTTTATAATTCCCGCCGACACGACTTTATTTTATATATACATGTATATTTATATATGTAACGAAGAAAAAAAACGGCACGAAGAAAAATACAAGAGCAAATCCAGAGTTATTCGTTCCTTCGTTTCTCCGCGTTGTTGAGTCGCGAGACGCGGCGATAACAAGAAGGTTGAGAAGAGCAACAGCGCTCGTTAATATGAATTTATGGCTTCATAGAATGAGCGAATCAATTGTGACGCATTGGTATTAAGCGAACTGAGCGAGACACCGTCTCTTTTAGCGACAAACATTGCGATTGAAAAACGAGAAACAAAAAGAAGACCTTGCTCTTTGGGAAAATTTCATGTTTCGACACCAAACGACTCGCGGAGGCTAAGACTCGACTCAGGATGTCACTGACGTAAAATTCATGCGAAATTTCAAACATTTAGACCGGTAAACCGCACTTCTTTCCTTCCGGCCGAATTGGGGCTTTCTCGTTAATTAGAGTTCCAATCAGAGTTGCGGTTTGCCACCATATTCCGATTATAACGTGCGACCATGCTCGGAAACATATCCAGCTCGTCGAATATAAAGAGATAAAAAGTCAAAGACGACTAAAGTCATGTTAAAAAAGGATTTTTCCTTACAGTCGTATTGAAAAAAAAAAAATATCACTTTCATCGCGCAAAAATGAATATTTTCAAATATCCTGTATATATAAGTGATCATTTATCTATAATTTCAAATGGAGAAATAACATTCTCAAGTAAATGAGCTTTTAACTATTGTTATACGGAGGAAGTTATATCTCCGAAAAAGTATCAAAGAAGAAACACACGCAATTCTCTAATAGATATTAATGATATCAAATATTTCGGTCCAGCATGGTGCGTCATATAAAATTACATGAGAGTGAATAGGGAAGTGTTTAACGATCGTCTCGTGGAAGGGGAAAAACGAAGTCGACGACGATAGGCATATATATTAGAGGTGCCGTTCTGTTGAGCAGCAAAAACGACAAGACATTACCTTTGCTACCGGCCGCTACTTACCGCGTTAACCAAGTATGACATGAATAAATAGCAGCAAGTATACACGCGCGTTTCAAGTGCTGTCCGCGAGAAAAGAAGAAAAAAACTTGTTATCCTTCCGCAAGACTTTGCAAGAGCGCAACGATGCTGTACGCGTTGCGAAACTGTGATATAAAAAAATCGAAGATAAGAGGAGGAAATTCGAGTGCACGAGTAACAAGATGCGAGTAGCAGCATTACGCGATTCATATCAAAAAAATTATTGTCATCGTTTAATGTCTGATTCGACTTTCCGTATTTGAACAGTGAAAACAGGCGAAATATGTGTTTTTTTCGCGCGCAAGCTACGCATCGTGTGATTGATCTAACATGTAGCTTCCTGAATAATCTTCAACGATATCGATTAGACATAATCGATTCGACATTTTGCGCGTCTTACTAGATATATGCAGTAGATTTTATTTCTACGATTAAAAAAACAAGTTCTACTTCGTATTTCACCGGCATACCTACTAATGTAATGAAATATTTATCACACGCAGCCTCTGAATCACGCGAGATCGCAAACAGGCAAACCCGAGAACAGCGAGAAAATGAAGCTGCTGGTCGTGTGTCTAGTTTTCGTGGCGGCGATTTCTGTCGCGACGGGTCAAAACAGATACGTCGCTAAGCAAGGCTCATGTCCACCTGCCTTACCTGTGCAATTCTGCGGCCATTCCTGCTTCGTTGACTCACACTGCGCGGGAATCGGCAAGTGTTGCCCGACTCAATGCGGCGGTTCCATATGCTCCATGCCTGTCACGATGACCCGGCCTGGCCAGTCAGGTAAGAAATCCTTTGTCGCCGCGTTACGCCAAATTGCTCGATCTGAAACAATAATGATCGCGCACTCGATTAGTTTCTAATCACACCAAATTGAAGCTTTGTAAGAGATACGCACTTGTTTCTTGGATCTACACGAAAAAAACATTTTCACTTTTCGCAACTAAATAAGGACTAGGCGAAAATTCAGCAAAGGGGAATACTATTTTTGTTATCATAAATTTTTCTGAACACCCAGCTGTATTAAAAATTTACTTACAATAATTGTTACAATTACTTTAAATTTACTTGCAATAATTGAGAACAATTAACTGAGTGGAAACCTATAAAAATCTTACTATTCCTAAAACTGAATTTTTCATCTGATCTGTATTCTTATCAGGCAAGATCGAACTCTATTACACTAACAGAATTATTTTTTCCATATAAACTAAAAAAAAACTAAAAACTAGAAAAAACTAAAACAAAACTAAAAAAAATATCTGAAAATTGACAAATATTTATTAGGTGAATAACATATTTATTTAAATCAAAATTCTCTTTATTTAAACCAAATATTATTTACTTAAGCAGAGTAAACAATATTTGGTTTAAATGAAAATTGTTTAATATTTCTTACTTATCATATCTTGAAACGAAAAGAGGTATCTAATTTCTTGCAAAAGAAGACAGAAATATTAAATATGGTTATGATAAAATATCAAATACATTTCAACAGGGAGATAAAAGCATCTCTGTGAATATCTAATAGTCACGAGAATATTCCGCACTTATCCTTGAATTACATGCGAATAGACTCTGAACATAGACCAATTTTTGAAAACATATCGAAACTCTATCGAACGAATTACTGTAGTTTTCATTAAAAAAAGAAAAATCACTTATGAATTTATATACAAAAAATATATCATTATTTCCGCAGAGAAACCAGGATACTGCCCGTCGCAACCGACAGGCAGATGGGTGTGCACGTCAACCTGCAGCAGCGACAACGATTGCAAAGGCAACCTAAAGTGCTGCAAAAACCGATGCGGAGCCCTATCTTGCCAGAGGCCGGAAATCGAAGTGTTTGAACCCGTTGAAAATCCGGTTGAACCGGTCGCTCCGCGTCTTGGGTTTGATTATTAAGAAACTGCTGATCTATTCATTTTTGCACATACTGTACGCATAATTAACATAATGCTGCTATTGATTGCGCAAACATTACGTCTGCTCAACGATAATACGTCTTTTAATCTACGATTTTTACGTCTCAAACCTCACCTTGCGAGGTCGACATATTCGATATTTGTGCCATGTTACTCCGAATGCCAAAAATATTATTTATGTACTTTTCTACAAAATATAAAATGTCTTAAACTAATTCTTGTATTCCGCTTCCTCTTATTAGCATACATAAAGAGAACATATGTTATAGTCTTTTTTCATATAAATTCTTTTTAATTTTAATATTTTTCTAGTAATGTAGAGAGAGAAATAGACTACGAGTACATTAAGATAAATACTTGAAAATTTATTTATGGAATGTAAAGTTTATTTCAAGGAAATATAAACTTTATATCCTACGAATAACTCATCAAGTATTTTATCTCAGTGTATATCTCAGTGCAATCTATTTCTCCCTCTCTTTCGGTTACAATGTTGTATAACAGTTTTTATTATGAAATTCTCTCCGTGTATGAATTCTTTTAAATTTCTTTATAGAGAATTGATCCACACATGCTCGAAATGGATTATTATAATTAACTAGCAAAATCAATAAAAAGGCAGCGTCGATAAAATCATAAACAACTATCAAGACTATCGAAGTATCCACACAATTACGTCGAGACGTAATTAATGCGTCATCGCCGCTCGCCGATACTCTAAGAGAACAAGTAAAGGCCAAGGCTATGCAAATAGCCAGCGTCAAGGCGAGCACATTAGTCGCGATTTGAATATTGCATGCTGAGCGTTTAATTACAGATCTCAAGCAACAACAAAATCGACAATTCCACTCGCTCGCTCATTATAAAGATTACTATACGTTGCAAGAATGTCTAATGAAACAGCTAGATACTCCCGGAGAACGGATTATTCAGTGTTCTTCGCCGAAGGAGAAGAGGGTGGGGTTTCCGAACTCAGAGCAAGCGTCTCAGGTGGCTAGCATACGCAGTTACGTGACTGAACGGTACAGAGGCGAATAATCTCGCGCACTTCGACATACGTATCTCGCTGATATCGCTTGCGTCGCGATATGCGACATGTGAAAAACTGTGTATCAAACGAAAATCCTATCGATACTGATACCGAGAAACAATTTTCCTCGATCATCGCGTGTTATTAGACTATAATCGCAACTTATTATACGCTCAATCTCCTTTCGCCCTACTCGATCGTCATCACGGTGGTGGTGGAAAAGATTTAAGAACCGATGCTCTTGCCGCACGGGTTTAGAAATCACGTCGGAGACGCAAGACGAGAGTTTTAGCCAGTTATTCGAGAACGCGACTCGCAAGATGAACCGTAAGTATCTAAACACTAATGCAGCCTTGAGAGCCGCAGTCAATGTTACGCGTTTCCTCACGCGGTGCAAATGCACCGTGTAATTTCTAAACAACATGATTAGCGTGCATTTTAATCGCGGTATATGTATAGAGAAAAATCGGTAATTATTTTCCAATAATTTCGTCACAAGAATGTGCACCGACTTATTTTTATAATGTCAATTTTCCAAGATTTGTGTGTGTGTGTACGTTCCACAACTTATAATTATAAAACACTATGCAGTTATCCTACCGAATAGTGTTATCTTTTAGATATTTCTTTTTTCAATATAGGTTTTTAAGTTATAACAAAATTTCACATCTAAATTCACGCGATATTTTTACTCGAGACTAAAAAACGAGAAAGTTCTATGCAAAAAATGTAGACAATTCCTAGTATAAAAATAATAAATATCGCAAATTAGTAAATTCACAAAAAAAATTGATCGAATCAATATAATAATATACGAAACAAAATATGTTTGTTTCGTTTATTGTCAGATTAACTCGACCAATCTTTTCGGATACGAAAATTTATCTTTTTGTGATCAGTCTCTTTTTCAACACGTAGAAATGTCTTCATTTGACGAATTGTATTTATAATCATGTATGTATTAGAATCAACATTGAATTTAATTTTGCAGGAAATATCTCGCTCCTCGCGGTGGTGCTGGTTTTGCTAGTAGCCAGCACGTGCGCTCAATTTTGTAAGCAAATAACTCAATTATCCGTTTATATACGAGAAATAACAAGTGACAAGAGTAAATTTGTACAATCGATTGCTCTTCGCTAATTTACTCTATTACAACGCGATTAAATGTTTCAGATAAAAGCGGCAACTGCCCGCTGCAAAATACCGTGAGCAATTGCACCCCCAGATGCACGAGTGACTCCCAGTGTTCTCTGAGTCAGAAATGCTGCCCGAACAAATGCGGCAACAGGTCGTGCGCCGATTCCAGCGCCGTCAGCACCGGCAGCGGGTACAAGGGCTCGAACCGTACGTATGAGATCTCGTAGGACATTCGAACTTTTCAGGTTACAGCGAAGCACCGCGCATTCAAACTCACGCAATACTCCCATCCGAGATAAGAGAACTCTGTGCAAACAAAACCCAGTGTTAACATAGGCCGCGATCCGTTACACGCTCCCAACGGCCGCGAGCGACATTCTATCTTTGTTGTTCATTGGATGTTAAATAAAGATAGAATGACGCTCGCGATCGTTGGGAGTGTGTAACGGATCGCGGCTGTAAACGATACATGTGTCGCAAGTGACGAAGTAAACACGAAAGCGTATATTTGAAATAGATAAGATCGTGAGATTACCGAGTCCTTCGAGCGCTGAAACCGCCATTTTCGTTGCAGAGCAAGACGTTTACTGTAACGGAGTGAAATGCGCCGCGTACGAGAAGTGCCAGTTCGACCGCAACACCAGACGTGAGAGATGCACCCGCGCCTAACGTCATTCTCGTCGCCGAATCTCTTCGTGAATCTCAACTATCCCGAATGTAATCCTATATAAATAACAATTACACTCACTCTCTTCGCTGCCCTCAGCAAGTCGAGGCGTTCGATTTGAATGCTTTCGCGCCGAAAACATCGCTCCATCCAGTACTACGAATTCGGAAAATTTTCTTCGCGACAGGAGGCCTCTGCGCATGCATAAAGTAACATAGCAACCTGTCATTGGATATTATATCGTTACGTCACTTTCGCATACGCAGAGACCTCTTGTCGCGGAGAAAATCTCTCGAACTAGCCCCATCTTCATTCGGAACGTAAGAAGCAACAAGGATAGAATAGAGGCGTATTTACAGAAAAGCGATCAGAGTTAATTTCGAGTCAGCGATATATATGCCTCTCTATAATTCAAATATTTCATGTTCTGACCCCAACTCTATCTGAAATAGTGACCGGGTTATTGAAATGTACATCTTGCTAGCAACGTAATCGCTTTTCCGTAAACACCCAAAGTGCATCTAGTGCTACAATCGCTCAGTGAGCTTTTACATCTTTAGTGTTTAGAAATATGCTAATTGGATGCAAGAGCTTACTCAGCTTAGTATACATAGGCCAGTATTCATAGTCGAATCTTATTTCAAGACCGTCTTAAATAATGTCTTAAGATGCGAATACGGCTCTGTGATTGGTTCATGATATCTTAAGTACTACCTTAAGATATTAATATTAAATATATAATATTAAAAGATACTTAAATATTTCGGTATATACCTGTCTATTTATAACGATTTGAAGCGATAAAGCAGCAGTGCTACGTCAGGGTCCGGCTACGTCGCACGCCATTTGTGTTTCTCGCTCGTCGTCAGTTTCAATAATCGAAGTTTAAACATCGAAATCGAGCGATCGAGTAATCGGGCGATATTCGTCGGCAGATGGTGCGATCGTCTGCAGGTAGGTAAGATTCCTGAAGAGCCATATATAAAGAGAGAAAGAGAGAGAATCTGCAGGTATGCGCGTTCGCAATACAACGGTCTAAAACAGTCTAAAATTTCTTCCTGGCTCTGTCAAAGAAGTCTCGATTCGAACGAGAGAACCGTGAAACAATGTGATTCGTGGCGGCTCCGTCTTAAAAATCGCAAAATGGATCGCCGATCTCGTACTCGCACCCGCGTAATCTCGTAATCGCGCAGATATCCGCCCCCCGAGGAGAGGTTAGCTTTCCTCCGACTCGAGGAAGAGGTTAACTCTCCTTGATTACCGAAGATGGCTATGGAGTTTCTGATGAATTGGCTCAAAGCCTTGCTCGTGTTGCTCTTCGGCATATTCAGAAAGGCGATATCCTGCTTTCTACGCCGAAGAAGATCGTCCTATAACTCCGTACCTCCTCTGTCCAACATCAGTGTGATTCCCACCATCCTAAGTAACTCAAAGGTGAGATGATCATGCGTATCTTCGCGATAATCGCTGCCTCACAACAAAAATGAGATAAGAGAAAAAGAGAGAAATTGCGATTTCTTTCAGAGAATATAACGTCAAAACGTTTGTGTCCGTTTAGTCTTTTGAATTTCTGTTTATTTTTGTGTCAATTTCTATAACAACATTAATCAGAAGTTGTTCTCAGACCCTAGAAGATTGGGACAATTGGGAGGACAATCCAACCGTTGTGGTACTTGACAAACAAGTTAATATATTACAAACAAATATTGACCAATTTCGACATCAACCAAACATGACTGAGACCATTCCTGAGATCACTTCTGAGATCAATCCTGAGACCTTTCCTGAGACACCCACTGAGGAGCAGTTCAACTTTTTTGAGGTAATTCTAAATAATACTGTTGCCTTGATAAAGCCAGAAATATGATCTTTGAATTTTATATAGGACATGACTCCAAAAATCACTAGACAAACAAAGCTCTTAATAAAGAATAAACCTATGGATGGCTTGTCTCGTAACACTGTAAAGTTCATAGCCATGGATCCTGTCCCAACTGTGAGTTTGCACTTGAATATTTGCATAATCTAGAGGTCTGTTTGTTTTCTGCACAGAGAGAAAATTTTATATTAAAATTATTACAAGATTCTCTAATGTCCATTCCAAAGAATGGATCGATATTCTGCAATAATTCACTATCTTTTCATTTCATACATGCTATTCCTATTTTAGGAACTGAAATGTATATTATTGTACTATTAAAACACTATGTTTCTAGCAATATCTGCTATTCTTTAGCAAGATAGATTTTACTGACTCTACTAATTCCTGAACTATTAAAAACATAGAAAAGGGTTTATGTAAGAAAAAAGACAAACTATAGTATTCTCTCCTTGCAAGAACTTCTGAATTAGTGCAATACCAGTGCAATAAATAAATTAAGGTAAATATACTTCACTCCAACTTATTATACTAGTTCAGAAGTTCTTGAAGATCAAACAGACCTTGGATCTTGTGTTTGTGACATATCCAAAAACTTAAAACTTATCATTGCAATGTGCAATCAGAATGAATTAGGAGAATGGGAAGAGAATGCCACTGGCTGGGAAGTGGACACACTAGAGGAATTCGGCGACCCTACCAAAGCGTTGCGAGAGCAAAAAAGAAAGGAGAGGGAACAACGACTGATTGAACAGCAGCAGAAAAGGATGGACCGTATGACGAAACTGTCGGTGTTAGGCACAAAAGTGTGTTCTTGATGCGAAATCACAAATACCAAAATACATAATAACGTACAATCTAATGGCATGCATACTGAAGATCCTTCATCTAGAAATTAGCTCGCTCGTGTTGATTGTATCATCAGTATGTTTATTTTTAAACAGAGAGGTAATGTTCCGTCACGTGCACCTCGCTGGTACGCGTTTGCGAGCGCTCGTGAAGATCTCTATATTCGAGCACTCATGTGTCGGCTTCCTTCCCGAAGGGAAACTATATATCGATATGTCTGTTCTCATTGAAATGGTAGAGCATTTGTAAACATTCCATGTGAATTTTGTACAGTATCGAGTATAATATGTTTTATCTTTTAAAAAAAAAAAGGATAACTGTTTTGCAAGTTTATAATAACCACATCCATGGATGTCGTAATCTTCGTACTAGCGAATTTTTTTTTTACCAGAAGATGGTCCTATAAAAAAGAAAAAAAATATTGATATATTTTAATTTATTAGACTTTTCTCAGATTCTGTTATCTATGCGGTTTTGTTATCTATGTAGTTAGAATAACGCATGTGATCATGGATTTTTAACTATTTCGTAATAAAGAGTGTAATTATGTCTTCATTTGAACATTCAACTTCTAGGATATCCAACATATATACTAGTAGTAGTGAATCCTGAAACCTACTATTTTCCAAAGATATAATTTCCCTGGTAAATGTAAGATCCTTTGTCCCTTTACAGTTTCTTTTTTCTTGTTTCAAAATATCATTTCACACTGTGATTTTAGAAAACCAGAGCGAAAATCGATGAATGTCGTTAACGTAGCATATATACTACAGAGGAATATACTTGTAACCCCAGAAAACGTCAAGAATGTATAACTATTTTTCATACGACCACTATATCCAGACTACACAAAATAATATATGAATATTCTCATGAAATATAAATGTCCTTAATTTCAAAATATTTATTTACTGAAACTGAAAAATATTCCAAATATTCTTAATAGCAACATGCATTTATTATAGCTTAGGGATGAAACGTACTTGCAAAACAAAACACTCAAATTATTCTTTTATAATTGTAAAAGCAAAGTTAATATGTGATTAATATACATTTTGTAAATATTTTTTGCATATTCATAGGACGTTTATAATTGTGTTATTCGAATGTGCTATGAATATACTGCAAATATATTATCGTATATTTAGTACATTTATAGAATATACAAATATTTGTCAGCAATATTTATAGAACATTCATAGATTATTTCTGTGCTACCTCGGTTTTAAATTAAGTCCCGATATGTTGCAAAATTCTTTTTCATCATTATATGTTATTCCTTAAAAAATCAATCTTTGCGGTCAGTTGCGATAAACTTTTCTTTCTTTTCTAGTAGAACATAAAACATGATTTGATTTTAAACGCACAGAGGAAGCGTAATAAGTGGTCTGTTCTTTTCAGCTGCACTGCTGAACTGGTGCAATAAGTTAGAGTGAGAAAAAATATACTTGTCTCACTTTAACTTATTGCGCCAGTTCAGCAGTGCAACTAAAAAGAACAGACCACAGATCGCACATCGCGACGTGCACAATATTCGAGCTTCCCGCTGCTGCATTTGCCCCGTTTACTCCCACGCAATGTGCATACGTACCGTGTAGTATGTACACGCGCATCGTGTACGATGTACGCACGTTATACACATGCACGTTATACACACATACACGCACGCGTAAAAGCCTATCAGTGTCGTCATCGCGACCGTCCGAGACGGGCTTTATTGAACGATAAAGAAAGGAATCCCCGTGAGGCGACGCGGAAGGTCTCGGCTGTGCAATTCAGACTGGATAATACGGCGATCGGCGACGCGCGCAGATACAATCGTCGCTGAGAGCCCCGCACGCGCTGCAAATGCTCTCGCGTTTGTGATTCACGGCCATGTGCCAAACCGATGATCGTCTCCGCTACCTCCACCGACGACGATACATGCAAATGCGAAATGTCAACATTCAGAGGTGAGCCGTTCCCCAACGGCGAGAGCGACGACAACGGCGACGGCGCGTCAGTGAGTTAGTCGTCCGATTTCGTAAATTGGGACAGCGATCTCTGATCCACGTAGAAGGAAGAGGCGTGCGCGTCATCACCGTGGAACCCAGACTTTGGCTGGCTGGCTAACTGGAGACAGCTGGAGACCAGCTGAAGGCCAACCGGAGCAGACTGATTGGTCTCCCTCAGTCTTTTCGGTCGGCTATACGTTCAGTTAATCAAGAGTGCTCACAGACCGACCTTGACACACGGATTCGAATTAAACTCGAGAGATTAGACATGTCAACGGCAGATGAGCGTGCATCGCAACGAGAAGAGACAACGAGGTGTATTATGCGTCAGAGAAACAGGATATAATCAAACTGATAGCGGAGCCGATAAGTTTAGCCTGAGCAAACACAACGCAGAGGTGCGATTCTGAACACATCGCGTATCCCGAGCGGATTCCATAAACGGTCGTCTCGCCAGTTTAAAGGAGAACTGCTGTGCCTCTCAATCCCGGAAGAGACATTCCGGTGCTCTGCGTAGCAAATACCGATCGACCAAGTCGACGCTCTATACAATCAAACGGAAATATATATATGCGACTTGTAAAAGATAAATATACCTACATGGGCACATATGCGTTTTAGATATATATTTCTCTTTAAGTATATATATAGAGCTTTCGAGATTATTGGCTTTTATCATAACTACACGGGCTGTTTGAATTTTAGATGTGGAGTGCTTCCTTATCTTCAAATGTAGTATGATATATGATAAGAGTTGTGTTATAAATGACAAGAAACTCAATGACTCACACTGAAACATAAACTTAAAATCATGTAAACGTGGCTTGTGAAGAGATACTGTGGTGTGATTTATATTCATTTGTAAAGTAAGTTACAAAAATATTGCAACAATGGGTTCCATTGCTTTGGAGGAGTACGAACTGATGAAGGACTCCAAGTATAGAGTGTGAGTACACATAAGAATTATATATTATTACTCACACATGACATAAAATTACTGACACATGTATTACAAAAATTTTTCGTTCTCTTCAAATTACTTTAACAATTAAAATTTTTTTACACAACTTTTTATTATTTTAGATTGTTGATTATTTGTACATGATAAAAAATTGATTAAGATTTTAATAGTTAAAATTCAATATACTATAATATTATATATTTGTTACAGTTATGTGTCTGCTGTTGATAAGGCTCTAAAAAGTTTTGAATACACGAGTGAATGGGCAGATTTAATTTCTGCACTAGGAAAACTTAATAAAGTGTTACTTAGTCATATGAAGTTTCCTGTTATTCCCAGAAGAATTAAAATATCAAAGAGATTAGCACAATGCATGCATCCAGCATTACCTTCTGGTGTTCATTTGAAAGCTTTAGAAACTTATGACATTATTTTTAAGTGTATGGGCACTAATAGACTCAGTCATGAGCTCTTTATCTATAGTGCAGGTACATGCATACCATGTAAATTAACAATAATAATTATAAATAATCTTTTAACACTTTGTTTATCAATTTTTTTCTTTTTAAATAGGCCTCTTTCCATTATTGGGTCATGCTGCTATGAATGTCAGGCCATCATTGTTGACAGTATATGAGACACATTTCGTACCACTTGGTGAAAGATTAAGACCAGGTTTAAGTGGTTTTCTAAGCGGTGTTCTCCTAGGTCTAGAAGATGGTTCTGATCATTTTGATAGGTATACTAAACTCATATATCATACATATTGCATATAAAACATAATAATTGTAAATAATGTGAAAATTTATGAATTATTGATGTATTATTTTTATAGAACCAATTCCTTACTGGAAAAAGTCTGTGAGGGTGTCGGTGCAGAACACTTTTATGCTTGTTTATGGGACTGCTTGGCTTCGAATTCTGGCATTCGGTTACCTGCTATATCATTCGTTTTAGCACATTTTAACAAAAAGCTCTTAATGGAGAAACAAAAATACATTATGGGCACTAATATTAAAATTATGGTAAGAAAAGCTTTGTACTTGAGACATCAAATATATTCTTAAATATTAAGGCTTACTTGCTTGTTGCAGGTTTCAGCCTTATGCGCCGGAGTACAAGACACTTCAGTGCTAGTGCAAAGAAGTGCACTGGATTTTCTATTAATAGGTTTTCCTATTCACAATAGTCAATTGTTACGCCAAGATATGATAGTATTAATCAAAGCTGCTCTGGTTACTATACTGCGAAGAGATATGAGTTTAAACAGGTTAGGAAAGACACGATATGATAATTTTCGAAAAATCTCTTATAATTATATATTTATCCCTCTTATAATTATATATTATAATTATATATATTATATATTTCACTCTTGAATTGTAGGCGCCTATTTGCCTGGTTATTGGGCACTGAAGTGAGCACGTCAATTTTAAAGAAAAAAACGCAAGTAGCCACAGATGCTAAAGAAGATTCCATAACGTATTTCGATATATATTCAAAGGACATGCTAGTCGAAGCGATAAAGTACCTTCTTAGAGACATATGTGAAGAGGATTCACAGGATCTGAAGCCATATAGAATACTTGTTTCATTACTCGATAAGGTGGATATCGGACCAGTAATTTTGGATGATATTCTATTCGAAGTGTTTAGGTAAAAATTGATTTTGCATACATTTTGAGAGAAAAGTTGCTGTTCCAATATATTTCCAATATGTTTCCAATATATTTTCTAACCATCTATATTCCAGAACATTTTATAACGCCTGCAAACAATCAGCATCAAATCACACTTCGAAAGCAAACGAAGTAGTAAAATCCGCGAATCTGTTATTCTCAACGCTGGAGCCGTCGTACATTTGGATACATTGTGGATACTTGTTTGAGAAGGCCTGCAATACTAGAGCGAAAACGCAAGTCGCGATAGAGGACATTACTGTGAGGCCCGTTGGCAGTGGAATACCGAATCTGGTGGAAGTGTGCATACTAACGGAATTCTTGTTGGAAACAGTGTCGCTGGACGCATTCATAGACACTCCGTCTGAGCATCTCCCCGGCTTATTCTACGAGATAACGAGCAAACTTTTGTATCACATCAACATCCTGTCCCCGATGGAAATCTCGAAGAGTCTCAAATTGTGCGCCAAGATCCTGTCGAAGATGCAACCGACCATGATGACCACTCATACGGATAAATACGAGATGGACACCAAAATGGACGTGTCTCTGAATAATATCACAGTGCCTAGCGATCATTCCTTGACGGCGATTCCCTTGGAAAAGAGTCAGTCGGACAGTAAGTTGAATAAGCCCGACGCAGCCAGCACTTCCTTCACGGAGAAAAGCCCCAGCACGAGGAGGAGAGCCAATTCCGGCGGCGCTGCTAAAAGGAACGACAAGAAGTCGAAGAAAAAGAGCAGCAAGAGCACACCAAAGTTGAGCGATACCTACACCATACAAGCTGACGGCAGTAATATCTCGGTTGTGGTGAGCGAAGACTCGAAGATTTTGCCCAGGAACAAGAGCATGGATGACATCAAAGCGAGCTGCATCGAGACCGACGAATCGAGCCCTACGTCCAAAAGTCAGTTGTCCACGTTGAAACTCTTCGCGAACACTAGTCCAAATGGATCGACGGCATCCTTGTGCAAAGGACCATCCCCGGCTTTCCAGGCGCAACACTCTATGCTGGAGAAATGTCTTCGTCAGTATGAAATATTTTACGTGAAACTAATCAGCCAGCGTATACTCAGCAGAGAGAGAACGGTGCAGGATATGTTCGATCACCTAGTAGTATCCTGCCCGCGAAAGAGCTTCGACGAAAGGATGCGTTATCTGGAGCATCTATTAAATTCCAAATTGAACATAGAGGACTCCGGATTCTTCAGCCAAGATATTTCCGTGACTGAAGACACCAAGTGCCTGGATATTTTTCACCTGTCCCTCGACATCGCGGCGCACGCAGACTGGACCGAGGCTATGAAGATAGCGTCCACGTTGTTCGTCGAGTTGTCTGCGTTCCCGAAATACCGTCAGCCCGGTGACGATGTGCACGTAGAGGAGGAGCCTAAGTTCGAACAAGTTCTGCCGGAGTGGTTGAAAGTTCTGATAGTTTGCTCCTGCTGGCTGCAGAAGCAACCGGCGTTGCAATTGACGAGCATCGCCACATTGTTGGACTTGATATCATTGCTGGAAGCGCACAACGACGTCGAAACGCATCCTAAGAGCGGAGAGGGCATGACAGCCGTAATCATGGCGCCCTTGTTGAAACAATGGCACGTGACTTACCTGATGCAATATACTAATATATTTCAGGTATGCAATCATATCCTTCATATATTTTTAATATGTACTAATATGATATATATTGATAATATATACTGAAAAAAAAATGGTTTTACATTAAGGTATTGGCACATTCCTTGTGGCATCATTTGGGCGAGCTTCCCGCTCACAAGTTTAGAATGCGTTGCGTAGAGTTGTTGCACGACCTGCATCACACCTTGTACAATTCCTGCGACGCGGTTGAGGATCTGATAGGATCCGCACTCACCTCTGAAAATCCTGAAAAGAGGATCGAAGCGTTCAGTAGATTCGCCACTTTGTGGCACTTGGGACGGGAGATCGAGACGAATCCGAGGCTACGTGGCTGTCTCAGAACTTTCGATCAGTAAGTAAAAAGTCTTAGTTTCCGTTTGGTTCGTTAATGTCCACCATCGTTAATGATTTTATACGTTTGGCAGGTCGTTATTGAAGATGCTAGATAATCTTCAACTCGCGGACAATTCGCCGTTGAAGTTGCAGGCTCAATCGTGGCTGCTACATTCCTTAATGCGTGGCGACATATCGCGCGTAATAGATCCGCTATTGACAATACTCTTGGATCCATCCACATGCCGTATGAGCGTTCTTCACGTTAGTATACAACACAGCAATACCGTCCTAACGAAGAACGACCCGGTGGAGGAGAAATCGGAGATACAGGACGACACGGAGGGCGCCGCCAAAATCTACGCGATTAGTTCGGTGGACGGCAACGTGATATATCACGTGAGCGACAACGTAGACGAGGACAAGAAATGGAAGAAAGGCAAGAAGAAGAAGCAAGCGATCAATCCCGTAAAAATCAAGCGAATCTTCGCCGTGACGACGTTAGCGACTGGTGACAATTGCAATCACTACGTCACGGAGAGGAATCAGTTCATGAAGGAGCTCGAGGTGCCGCCCAGCATATCCGGCAACAGGAAAATCTCTGTGTTCGTGAACCCTCTCTCGATCAATTGCAACGAAAACTCGACTGACTCCTTGACGGAGGATGATTCGTTGCCAAGTATGCGAAAAGCGAACCTGACCACCGAATTACTCAAAAACGCCACCCGCTTCAAGAAGATAGACTTCGACAAAGGTTCCACTGCCAGTTTAGACGAGAGTCTCTTCGAATCAGCGAATTCCAGCTTGAAGGCGAAGGACAAGAATAGCTTAAAGAAACTGAACGACGACGTCGGCTCGTCTTTGGACTCCATCACGAACAGTCTGGACTCGAGCAGTCCCGAAGTGACCAACAAGCAGTCGAAGCAGAAGAAGGAACCTCTCATAATGCCAGGCAGTTCTAGAGAGGTAGCCGGTACCATCATCAAGGGCAAATACTACAGCACGAATGAGTTCAGCGCGAATTACGATCACGAGATCGGTAGCTTCGAGGCGAGTGCAGAAGTACCCAGCTGGACAATGGACGATGAAGACGGCGACCTAGAGGCCAGTACCACCGCAGAGGAGTACTTCAGCAACTCCAGCAGCACTAGTATAGTCGAGGAGATCCTGAACGAGGTGCTTGATCGCGCAATGCAGCTGTGCGACGCCGCTGAGCTGTCGAAAAGTGTGAGTATCCCAAGCTACATTAAAAACTTGTAAATGTAGCTTGCGTGTTATTAACCCTTTGAGTGTTCTTAATATATATATATATATATATATATATATATATATATATATATATATATATATATATATATATATATAT